GGGATCCTCCCAGACCAGGGCACGAACCCGTGTCCCCTGCATCGGCAGGCGGACTCTCAACCACTGCGCCACCAGGGAAGCCCTTTCCGTGACATTTTTAAAAAACGGGATTTACTCTCTTCCATCTTGGGGGTCTGACTGCCATAAATTACTTGAGAATCTTGTTTTAGACTCTTAGATATGAATAAGCCTGATTTCCACCCCTATTGATTATTTAGTGTGACTTCTTATCCATATGAGGATCCAGCATTATTTTATTATGATGATCTTTGTAAGGTGAAGGATTTGAAATAACTTAGACTCATAGAGTTGTGTCCTTCCCCCAAGGTTTTATTATGAAAATGTTCAAACATACAGGAAAAGTTGAAAGAATTTTACAGTGAGTTACCTCTAAACCCACCATCTAGATTCCACTATTAACATTTTACATTACTTGCTTTATCTCATATCTGTCTGTGTAACTATCCCACTATCTATCCACCTTATTTTTTGATTCATTCTAAGTAAGTTATAGACATCAGTACATTTCCCAGAATCATGGAGGTTTTAGGCTTAAAAGTGATTTTCAAACTTAAAAGGAAAAAAAAAAAGTAAAACTGAAATCTTACATTGATACCACATAAAAGACATGTAGGTGGTGCCCCTCTGGGGGAGAGAGGAATGAGGTCCAGAGCTCCTACCTCAGCCTCTTCTCCATCTTCCCTTTTATTAAGGGTTCCTCAACACAGTCTGAAAAACCGTACTCATTCCCTTCATTTCCACATTGAGAAAACTGGACCCAGGCACGTTAAAGAGATTTGCCCGAGGTTGCAGAGCAAGTTATGACTAAACTAGGAGTCGAAGCCAAGTGTCCTGATTTTGGTTGCTGTGCTTATTCAAGATTGTAGCCTCCGGGGCTTCCCTGGTGGTGCAGTAGTTAAGAATCCGCCTGCCAGTGCCTGGGACACGGGTTCGGGCCCTGGTCCCAGAGGATCCCACATGCCGCGGAGCAACTAGGCCCGTGCGCCACAACTACTAAAGCCTGCGTGCCTAGAGCCCATGCTCTGCAACAGGAGAAACCACCGCAATGAGAAGCCTGCACACCGCAACGAAGAGTGGCCCCCGCTCGCTGCAGCTAGAGAAAGCCCACACACAGCAACAAAGACCCAATGCAGCCAAAAATAAATAAATTAAAAATAAATTAAAAAAAGAAAAAGATTGTAGCCTCCCAAAGCTGTAGAATCACGGGATCTGAGTGTTAGAACTGACCATAATTTATTTATTTTGTCATCTTACTTGTACTCCTTTCGTTATGATGCAGTCACCTGCTATTCTTTGTGTCAGTGTAACCATGCTTATTTTGGGAATAAATCTTGACATAACAGAGAAGGGAACTGTGCTGTTAAAATAGATTTCCGATGTGGGATCAAAGGCCCTGTCCTGAGGGGATGATTCGGATGATCCATAAAAATCGTATTATGACCTAGTGTTCTAGTGAAAATCATGATTTTAAATAATTGTGAGATTTTATATGTGTAAATGTAGATATTATAAAAGGCTCAATCTGCTAATTTGAATTTGTTGATTTAATTTTAAAATCATTTTTGAAATAAAAAGATTTTTTAAAACCCACAGTTAATTGCCTATAATTGCAGCATTAAATTTTACTTCAGCCTTAGAAATGCATTAAAAAATGTGAGTATTATTGTACTTGACCATTGTTGTTTCTGATTATGTAGACTATAATTGATTATAGAAAGTACATAGTACCACCAGTTACAAAAATGCTTTCTTTTTTTAATCTTCTAAAAATCCAGTGAAAAAGAGGAGGAACTGGCACAGGCACGACTACACAGAAATTGATGATGGTTCCAAACCAGTGCAGGCTGGAACTAGAACTTTTGTGAAGGAATTACGTTCTCGAGTCTTCCCAAGGTAGGAAACCTGTTATGACCAAAGAACATTTAAGAATGTTACCCAATAAGGTGAAATTATCTAAAGTAGCGTTTTCGAACTTCAGGTTGCAAGCCATTATTATTCTTAATCAGTTTTTTACTTTTTGACAATAAAACAGAATAGACCATATTGGTACATTGCAAGTAATAAGAGTAAATAAGCATAGTTTCATGGAAGCTTTGTTATGTGCATGTGTACTGGATTACTGGGTAAAAATGTATTTAACTGTAGGTCTCAGTCCAAAAAGTTTGAAAGACACTGATCTAAGGCACTTATTCCCGTGCTTTGTTCCTTATGTTGTGCAGCTGCTGCTTCTCTTTCTCTTTCACCTCACTTACACCTATTTTCATACTCTGCTTTTTTCTTATGTTATTTTCCTTTCTGCCTCCACCCTACGTCTGCCAGAAGTCCCCACAACCATTGCTTAGCCTCTGGTGGCAACAGGACTAGGCTTTTTTTTTTTTAAGATAATGGAAAGTACTTGAGTTATCTGTGGCTCAAAGAACAAATGTCAAAAGCATTATACAGCATTTAACCATGCTAATTTAGATCATTTCCTACTCGCTGCCTGACATCTATTTAAAGTGATAATGCTTAATAGGCTTTTTACACGAGATCATATCCAGGCTTGTTAAAAAGGGGAAGCACAATTTAAATTTCAATCACAATATCACCTGCAGCCTATTATGGAATTATTTCAGATCATGTAACTATAAAACCCTTCCTATTTTGTCATAGTCTTTAGGATACCTGGCCGTTCCCCTCCCTTAAACAGAAACATATATGTTAAGCAGCTACCGTTGGCTCCCTCACGTACTGAGAGAAAAAAAAATATATGAAACACAGTGATTGCCACGTGATTTTTGTGATATTAAAGGCCTTATTCTCAAATATTCTCCTTTATGAGTTTCAAAGTCATTGGAGAAATGTCTGTTTATTTTCATTGATTGATTTGGAGCCCAGGGCCAGAGTTTTCAGCCAGGCTCTATGGGCTGGCTTCAGAGAGGCTTGTAAGTTTCCTAAAATTGTATAAACAGTTGACATGTTGACATGTGAATGTGAATTTTTCAGGGAGAGGAGCCTTAAGCTTTTGTTTTTTAAAATAGGTTTGTAACCCAAAAGTGTAGTGTTAAAAGTCCTGGCCCAGTGATTCCCGTGGCTTCTCGGCCGAAGTATTAAACACAGGTGTGAGCAGGTTCACAGGTGTCCACACTGTACTCACCACTAGTTAAAGGTCTTTGGTTTTATTTAATGTAACTCCATAAACCTCCACATCATTTAAAACCGTGGCAGGGTGACAATAATTAACTAAATTATACATACTTAATGTGATTAATATAGAAGTATATAAAATAAAGTGAACTCCAGCTATCTACCCCGACCCCCCGCCACTTTAAGACAAAGTCTTTTGAGACCCTTTTTTACATAAATGATAAATTTTAAAACAATTATGTGTATAGGTGTATGGATGTATATATACATCTAATTTTAAAAAATAAAATGGGGTTACATTATGCGTATGTTGTGCAACTTACTTTCTTTACTGTTATGTTTAATAGATATCTTTCTGTATGTATACACAAATTTACCTCACTCCTTAACTGCTGTGTAGTATGCAATTGTGTGTGTGTGTGTTGTGTGTATGTATATATATCCCGTAATTTACTTAACCGTCCCACTATGGTGTATGTTTAGTTTGTGTCCAGTTTTTTCCTCTTGTAAGTAATGATGTGCCTGTATTTTTAAGCACTTGTATCTACATATTTTTGATCAATGGGGGGAGGTAAAGCATCAGACATTTAAGATGGAGGAGTACAAGTGATTTAAGATTCTCCCTTAGGTTGGAGTTTAAGGAATTGTTAAATTCTCAGAGGTTGGGGAAGAAGGAACACTTGTGGATGCTTATGGGGAAAATAAAAGGCAGTACAGAACTCAGTGAGTCAGGTGAAGGAGCTCTGAGCCCTCCACTTACAAGACTATCCAAGAAAAGTCTGTCTTGATTTTTTTAGGCCTTAAACTGACCTTCTGTTATTGAGAAGGTGGGACGATCTGAGCTCAGTAATTCCGAGACCCAGTTTCTCCTGTCTTCTCCTTGACACCTAGGCTACAGATGACATCAAGACTGTTAAGATCTGACTGTAAATGGAAACTGTTGTGTTTAACCTATGATGCAAGTGTTGCACTTAACCTTGAATGTATAGCAGCTGCATTCTGTGAGCAATTGGAAGATAAAATCTAGAATATCCCCATTTAAAGAGATCTTTGATTTGTGGTTAGTTAGGGGATAGTGAAAAGGGACAAACCACACTTCAGTGTAATGCCTAGAACGTGTTAATCATCAAAGAGGGCAGCTGGAGGTTCAGCAACCCTTTTTAGTGGCTTAAGGTGACCGCATGTTAAAATTTATTAAATACTGGTGATAGCAGATCTTTGAAACCAGGAGTTCTCAGTTGGGGCATTTGGACATTGTCTCAAAGAGTAGGGACCACAGACGCTAGTCATCCCCCAGTGTGCAGGACAACGTGAATTGTTCTGTGTCCGGTGAGACTTTGCAATGCCTAACACATATTTGTGTAGACTTTTATAGCCAGATAAAATCTGGTCTGTTTTTACTTATCCTAACCAGCTTTTATTCTACTGTACCCCCTCCCTTTTGCTCTTCTGGTTTTCTATGCAGCTTGTATGGAGTGGCTTCTGATCTTGTTACTTTTAAATCCAACCACTCGTTACAGTCGAGTGTAAGCATCCTATTATTCTGTTATATTTTCTGGTGTTGTTTACCTGAACATTTACATATTGAAATACGTATTTTGCTGGAAACTAATTTGTTTTTTCTCTTGTTATAGTTAAGGCATTTTATATAATACATATATATTTTTCCAATTATATGTAGATTGAAGTAATTATCTATGACTTTCACTTTAGAATACTAAAAGGGGCTTTATAAAACATTTGTTATAAAAAGGAGAATTAGGTATGATAGGTTGAGAACCACTGAGGTAGATAATAATATAGTATATGAATTAACCCATTACCAGATTATCTTTTTTAACTGAACTTATCAACAGAGATGACATGTTACTCTTATGCTTTCCTTAGTGCCGATGAAATCATTGTAAAGATGCATGGCAGCCAGCTGACACAAAGATACCTGGAGAAACATGGATTTGAAGTCCCTATTATGGTCCCCAAATTAGATGATCTAGGACTCAGGCTCCCTCCACCTACTTTTTCTGTTATGGACGTGGAACGTTATGTAGGTACGAACTTGATTCCTTTAATTACTTGGGAAAACATGGTAAAAGTGAAATTGGTGTTATCCTAAAAATACTAAAAGTTGAATGAAGAGATGTTACTTTAGTTCCGTTTCTGGGTCAGGAAAAGTGAAATTCAGTATTACCTATGTTGAAAACTATTTTTTTCTCAGCAGACCTACATTCAGAAAGACAGAAAAAAACATTTTGCATATTTTTATTTACTCAGCCTCATCCTACTGCTTTTGTTGTTGTTGTTGTCATCAAATTTACTGATACGGGCTTCCCTGGTGGCGCAATGGTTGAGAGTCCACCTGCCGATGCAGGGGACACGGGTTCGCGCCCTGGTCTGGGAAGATCCCACATGCCGCAGAGCGGCTGGGCCCGTGAGCCATGGCTGCCAAGCCTGCGAATCCGGAGCTTGTGCCCTGCAACGGGAGAGGCCACAACAGTGAGAGGCCCGCGTAACGCAAAAAAAAAAAAAAAATTCCTGATACTTGCTTAGGAGCAGTTATTATGGAGGGGTAGCTGCAGACTGAGGAAGAGAAGGCTTTGGGAAATCGGGTTGGTTCTAGGCCTCTGTAGCAGCATTCAGGTACAAGATCTCTGGATCCTGCTTTAGTGACCTCCTGCTGCCTAGAGAAAGGCTGTGAAAAAGAGGAGCTCACTTTCAAACCTGTTTTTATATTAATGACTTGGTGATACTGCCATTTAACGATGCCTGGACCTAATTTTTTATATTGAGGCCCGGAAAGGTATAAGAAACAAGGTGGAAGACCCTTCATCTGTTGCAATATTGTTGACATTTTCAGTCACTTTTTTCATTCGTATCGGGGTATTTAGAGATAAAGCTGACTCTATGTAGGTCTCATTCCTTGTCAGCAAAACAGAGATTATTTGAGGATTAGCTCTCAAATCTATCTTGACTCAAACTGTCTATTCTTTAGAGTATGTTATCTCCTGAGCATGAAGTATCTGAGAACTTGTCCCTTTATTGATCCGTTGGTTGACATTGATAATTGTTTCACTGAGGAAGTCCAATTAAATTATCTGACTTCACATTCAGCTAGTTTTGAATTATTTGATAAATTAGAGGATGAGGCTGAGGTTTCACCTAAACCTGTTTACATAGATAGCACTGTAAAGTAAATGGCGAGTGTAATATAAGTGTAGGAAAAACGTTCATACTACTTGATAGCTAACTTTTTAGTACTGCAGAATGCTTCAGTTAACAGAATTGTTTTGCCTCGTAAGTATAAAATAGTCTATTTAGCAATACTTCCTTAACTTATGTAAAGTTACATTAAAGTAAGAAAATGTCACTTGTTTCCTATTTCAGATTAAGTATTGCCATATTTTGAATTTCACCTTATCCTACAGGACATTGTAAAGCTAATTATGCTTTTTAGGGTGATGCAGTGTTGAGCAAACAATACCTCATGATTTTATAGGAAAATTGTAAATTAATCCCAATTCAGAACTCATTTCACAGGCCCTAATATGAACTGGTTTTTGCTTCCTAACCACTCATTTTTTTCTTGAAGCAGAATATTAGAAGAGAAGACACTACGAGGCAAGCAGAAATTGTTTGTCCTGGTTAATTTGTTCACTAATTCCCCAATGACTGATCGGTTTCTCAAAATGATGGGCTCAGAATCTTAGGTGTTAAAAAAGGGAAAAGTCAGTCCCCTTATTTTATGCATGAGGAATGCGGCACAGTTGTTACCTACCAGTGTAATATGCATTTTTGTCGTGAGCTGCACAAGAAATCATTGGTGTGTAGAAAGCTTTGTAAACATATAACTTTTTACACTCAGTGTTAATTACGCAGCTCTGTCTTAATTGCTTTATTCTTTCTTTCAAAAGTCATCCCTTTGTTCAAAAGTTCCAGTTGGACTTAAAAAGTAAGGATATAGGAAGAATCTTTGTCTAGGCTATATAGTTTTTATAGATGGCTTAATTATCATACAAGTAAATATAGTCTTTAAAATATTTTTGTTTTGGGCGTCTATTGATGAAATTCTTAAGCGCAATAATAAGACTATAATTTTTCTCTGCAGGTGGTGACAAAGTGATAGATGTCATTGATGTGGCAAGGCAGGCAGACAGCAAAATGACACTTCACAATTATGTTAAATACTTCATGAATCCTAACAGACCAAAAGTGTTAAATGTGATCAGCCTTGAATTTTCAGATACAAAGTGAGTAGTTCTGGATGTTTGGTTTAGCCTTCTGAGTGTTAGCTAAAATGTAGTTAAATGATGAATTTCTTTTAGTAAGAAACATAATTGTGACTTCTAAAGTGGTCCAGTGATATAGCTATGTTGTAAATTTTGCTTTGGTACCCTCAAACTTTAAGCATTGCTGTTAGCTGTGAGTTCCAGTTAATTTCTTGGTTTGGGTTGAGATGGGAGATGAAATTTTAAGAAGTTTTAATTTGCATGATGTGGGGTGTGTGTGTATGTGTGTGTTTGTTTTTTTAAAGGATGTCTGAATTGGTGGAGGTTCCTGATATAGCCAGAAAACTTTCCTGGGTGGAAAACTATTGGCCTGATGATTCAGTCTTTCCCAAGCCATTTGTTCAGAAATACTGCTTAATGGGAGTTCAAGACAGCTACACAGATTTCCACATTGACTTTGGTGGGACTTCAGTTTGGTACCATGTCCTCTGGGTAAGCTTGGGGTATTTCTTTGTTCACTTAATCACAAAAACGTACAGTCTTGTTTTTCCACATGTATATTCATTTGCTATAAATGACACTTGTAAAGAGGGAAGTGTTTTGCACTTTTTCAGTGGGAGCTATCATTTTAAATACTTAAAGAAGCATTATGATTTTCTTTTTTTAATCCCAAGTAATGGAGGAGCCATGAATTCTTAATTTATATAGATTCCATTTTTTTGCCCCCATCTTATAAATTAATCTCTTTTAGCCTTTTGTCTCTTTTTGTTTCTTCTTCCCCCTAGTCAATTACCAGTTAATCCCTGAATCTAATACCTGAGAAGGAGCAAAATTATAGTAATAATTGCTTCTGACCTTAAGGTGGGGCTAAAGACAGCTAGTTGGATAAGTCAGGAATGC